CCAATGACGGCATCTGGACGGGAGATCCCCATGCCTTTAAACACCAGCCTGTAACAAAAGCAAGTACATTAAACACCTGTGACAGGTGACGGATGTGGGGTGCTCTGCCACAACTTCCACAAAAGACCATTGGTTTTGGGGGTTCTGCTGTTTTTTTCTTTTTTGAGGATGTTGCTAGGTTTACTAACAGCAAAAGGGGGAAAAGCCAGTCCTTTTCCGGATGGCATGGGAAAAAAGAGATGTCTCCCTGCCAGCACCAATGATCTGCTAATTACTGCACCCTCACCTGCACTGCCAGCTCCTCCAACGCCCAACACTCACATTAACCTTGCTCCAGGCTGCAGACTGGAATTTGAATGGGAGGCATCTAGTTTTTAACCCACCTGGAAAGGAGCCAGTAGAGCATTCATTTTTTAGGATGTAAAAGCTGCAGTGCTAGTACAAACTGAAGTGGAGGGTGGTGAAACAGCATGGGGGGACACAGGGGAAATAGTATGGTCAGAGCCACAGTGGCCCCAGATAGGACCCACCTGGTGAGGGGCAGCCTGTCTTTGCATACTCTCTGCGAGTTCACAGACACTAAAGCTGAAAAAGTACCTGGTTTCTTCCTCTTTGTGTCAGCCTTTTTATCCACCCTTTGACTGTCTTCAGGCAGGACCTGGTGCAAACACCTCCTCCCCTGCAATTCTGAGCCTTGCTTGGTTTCCTTCAGGGCGGGAAGTGATGGCTCAGGTATTATTTAGAGCCTGACAAACAAAGCTATCCTGGGAACAAAGGCATCTGCTACCCGACTACAGCCCCAGGCAAGCTTCTGTGCTAGGCTAGGTGGGTCAAGGTCTTTTCTACCCCACCATGTGTTCCAAATCCTCTTCCTTCAGCCAGTGCTGGGAGACCCAGAAGCATCCTGCTTCAACCTGCATAGCAGCATGGATGCTTGCAGGGCTGCGTGACAACCAACCAATGCATGTGTGGGGCAGGGGTGGAATTTTTTCCAGATGTACTCACTCCTCAGCACACCTTGGGAGCTGCAAAATGGGATGCCTGCACCCAGCAGGAACACAGTTTCACAAAGCTGACAAGTTGCCCATTCATCACCTTGGGGGAGGCTCCTGTGGTTCGTGTGAAAAGATACCCTGCACCCCCACACCCAAATTACAGCAACAAGTCTGTGCTCATCCCTACCATAGAGGCACTCTGGGTCCCACTGTGGGGGGGGTATTTATTTACCTGTTATAAATGTCATCATCTTCACCACCCCAGCCCCAGTAATTGTTTGGGAACCCGTTGATCTTTGTGAACTGCTCTTTGCTCAAGGCAGACACGCCTCCGAAATACTGATTGTAAGGCAACCTGGAAGTAGGGAGAAAAGGCCATTAAAGGAGGAGAGGTGCTAGCCAAAGGGTAGCCTGTCTGTCCCAAAAGGGGATTGCTGCCACCCTTCACCCCAGCCCACAACAAGCCAGCACCCTGCAGCAGGGAGCAGCATGGTGATTTGGTGCCCTGGATTTGGCCACGGCAGAGGGTGCTGGTGGGCTCAGTCCCAAATACAGCTAGGAAGCATTCTGCAACAGGCAATGGCTGCAGACTGTCACTAAGAATTACGCTGTCCTCAGAAGACAGGTGATGAGATGCACATCACCTCGCCAAAGGACAGAAGGGTAACACAGATGTCCCGGGAGCAGCAAGAACTCAGCGAGGCATCGGAGGTGCTATGGAGCCTTCTCTTTCTGCAGCTCTGCTGCTCACCTCCATGCTTACCAGTGCCCCAGTGGAAAGCTCGCAGCCCAAAATTGAGCTGGCAGCATGACCCCGCACACACAAAATCAACTCAAAACAGGATGACTGACTGGGGATGGGGGGACAGATGAAATTCAGACCCACAGCACCAGGAGAGGTTCCATGCTGGGATATTAAGACCTACCACAGACCCTGTCTCTGCTTCAGCAAGCAGAAAAAACCCTGCAGCCTGCATTTCTGTTCTAAGCTTCAACTTGCTGCAAGAAAAAACTGCAGCTGCTGCAGTACTGGTGCCAGTCCTACTCCAAGCAGGGCTTGGGTCTGGAGTGGAGACATGCAGGGGTCTTTCCACCAAGACCCTGCTGTATCTTTAGTGCTACTGGCCACCACGGGGGCACGATGGTTTTCACTTCATAGATGAGCTTTTAAACTGCCCCTTGGGGATTCAGGATAGGGGGAAAAAAAAAAAAAACCAAAAAAAAACGGAAAAGCAAGACACATTTTTGTTCCCAGCAGCTTGCTGAAACCAAATGTATGTTAAAAGGCATTTCATTCTGTGTTGCTGTCAGATACCAGGGCAGGTCCCTCAGTGGCCTGAAACTGAACAGCCAAAAATATTTCATTTTGCTCTTAAAATAGTGCCTGATGCAGTCTTTTTAAAGCTGCATATAATTCTTGCTGTGTGAGAATGTCTCACTTTTCAGACTGGGTGGAAACACTAGCTGTCTTCCAGCTTCCAGCCTGAAACACAAGAAGGGATATGCGGGCATCTGCAAAACGATGGGTTCGTTAGTTTTTCCTCACCTTTCATTTAACTTTCCAGAAGCTGTGAATTTTAATATACTGCTCAGCTGCATTTCTCCCCCTTCCTCCCCTCCAGCTTATCCCGCTTGCAGCCATCAGCTCCCTGCAGGGATGCACATGCCAAGACAGGCTTTTGCCAGAGACATTTTCTCATGCTTTCAATGGTGGGTGGGGATGTGTAACGCTACACTAACAGTGATATTAGGAACAAAATGCCTGTCCAAAAGGCATCTTACCGAAATCCGAATTTATCCATGGATACAGAGAGGTGCCGTGGCTGGCTGTAACATTTGTAGGTGTTCCTGTCATCCATTGGGATGAGGTCTACATCACTAAACACAAAGCAATCATAGTCATACTCTTTCAAAGCCTCTGTGAATCCTATATTCAGCAGTTTAGCACGGTTAAATTCCTCTTCTCCATCCTAATTTAAAAACAAATAAACACAGTTAAGTGACTGAAATTTAACAGTTGACACAATCAGTCTCTTACCTGTCACCGTATGCTGGTGTCACTGCACTAGTCTGGCGTGCCTGTGATAGACTGAGCTTGAGCACAAGCATTCCCCCCGCCACACCCATGGGACATCTGCTGCAAGCCACCCCCAAAGTGGACAATGGCATCTAAGGCAAAATGGCTGAGGAAAGGCTGGACCCGGCCTGGCTCCCCTCTCTTGGTGGGAGACTCCAAGAGGGCAGGTTTGATGCTGAACGGTCCCCCCATCCCACCCCTGGCACAGGCATTTTGTGATTGAATTTTCTGATTACGTTTGTACATTGCTGAGGCAAGGCACTGGGGCAAGGAGCTAGGGCTTCCCAGAGCAGCAGAGAGAAGCAAAGAGAGATGAGCTCCTCTGGAAGAAGGGATCCTTGCTACAGAGAGAAACCTTGGCAGTTTAGAACCAGGATAAGGAACACAGACCAAAACCTTTCCATGGCCAGGAATTTGGCGCTCTCTTCCTAAGCTCTGCCACAAGACAGCTGCAGGACTGCGGCATGGCCTTTGCTCAGCAGCATGTGTGAGCATGCACCAGACCCAATCTGCAAAGTGCAAGGTAGTACCAGGAGCTAAGGTCTGCGGCTCACCAAGGTCTGCTGCTCACTCCTGCTCCTGTGCCAAGCCCTGGGCAGTCCTGCACACAGGAAGTGGGACAGTCCCAGGCCCCTGAAAAGGGCACTGCTGGTTTGGCGTGTAGCTGTGACACACAGACTGGTTTAATAGATGGCAGACCAGTGTGAGCTGCTCCTGCAAGGGCTATGGCTTGCACGCTGGATGCTGCTGTCTGCTGCGATGCACAGCCCCTGCTCTGATGCTCCTCTGCCAGCTGGGGCACACCATGACCCACCATCCATCCTGAGCACCTCACCAGGAAAATGAATCCAGGAGGGCTATCATCATAATGGGAAGGACCTGAAAAGAGCTGACACCACAGCAGGGCACATTTATCCCAGGGCAGGCACAGTTAATGAAGGGACCTGCAGAGAGCAGGGCAGGAAACTCTCCACTCCTCGAGCAATGTGGAGCACAAGGAGAAATCAGTTTGGCCTCTCTCAAGCAGAAACGTTTCAAAACCACATGTGGCTTTGAGCACAAGTATGGGCTTGCAAATTGCTCGACTACTTCCAGAAAACAACAGGATCATACTCCGAAACCCAAGAATACTGGTGGTTTGAGAGCAAGGATTTAAAATCCAGCACCCACCTTTGCAGCAGCAGCTTTAAACCCAAACCCTGTGCAGAACAGAACAGGCAAAAGGGAACTCATAAGGCACTGCTGAAGGAGACTGAAGTTTTTTGCCAGTCTGGAAACAAAGACTGGCAAATTCTTTCTCTTCATTCCACCTTTTCCTCTTCACTCCACCTTTTCCTCTTCACACCCTCAGAGCAGTATTGAGCCAAGGAACTCCCCTGCCGTGCAAACCAACCCCCACCGTGCAAACCAACCGCCACCCTGCGGTACCCACACCTGGCATGAGACGTGAAACAAGGGCAGATAAAATCCTGTGATGTTTTAAGCTGCGGCTCCTCGGGCACCTCTTCCCAAATGGTTTTGCCTGGTTAATAAATAATCAGTTTGGAAACTGTTTAATCCAGACTGGTTAATAGACCTGTGGCTGGAGAGCCAACACAGGTTCTTGAAACAGCCACAAATACCTTTCAAATGAAGGTTTTAACACGCAAGTGTCAAACCAAGGTTTTCAAAAGCATTCATCACCTGCCTCGGGCGTAAATTACTTCACAGAGAGGAGTGAGCTTTCATGGAGGAGGATCTGAGCAAATTCTCAGCATCCTCACTGGAAACAATAGTTCATGCAATAACTAAGGTGGTTGGAAGATGATCACCATCATGCATAAGCAAAAGCAGTGAAAACTTGAGTGCAGAAAACTAAGGCAAGTCAAACAAAGAGGCTGGGGAGAGGGAGTGGCTGAGGTGTGGGATTGGAGGGCTTTCTTCCCCTGGCAAAGGGAGTGAGTGCTCATCAGGTCCCACGGCACCAAACCTGGGCTTGGCTTCATAAGTCTCAAGGGAGACTTTTCCCAGCGCTGCTGCTCACACCTCAAAGCACCTGCTGGATCTAGTCTAGGAGACTGTCCTTATTTCACACCCTTTGGCTGCTCTTTTAATCAGGAAACTTCAAGGCAAAGGGCACTTCACACTCACTTCACACTTCTGTTACCAGCAGAGACTCAGCCATAATTAACCCATGCCACCTTCAGGTAGCCTCTAACTGTTCTGGGTGACACTCAGGGATTAACGATGTTACCAGGAGCTGCGTTTTTAAACCTCTCTTCGAAAAACCCCAAAACACAGCGCAGTGACCGGACCAAAGGTGTGCGGGACCCCCTTGTCACTTCACCCAGCAAACACTGGCAGAGCCCACACTGGGCCCCGCACATGAAGAGAGACCAGACAAACAGCAAACACCTCACATGGACGCCGCTGCTCTCCTCCCAAATGCCCACACAGCTTCACACCATGTGATCCAAAAGGCTTGAGGGACTGGAGAAAAATCACAACAAAGAAAGAAAACAAAACCCCTCTCCAAGCTGTTTTTTAGTGAGCAAGTAGCTTACACAGCAAATCTCACATTGCTGTCACCATTGCACTTCCTTTGAGGGCAGGAGTCTGGTTTTCTGTCCCAGGAGGTATACAGGGCAACACAGCATGTATCAGAGCAAAAAAAGACTGACAAGAAGTTTTGCTTCTTTTCAGAAAGCTCTGTTTCTTTACCCAGGGCAAGGTCGAAGCACTGGCGTGCTTGAGGTATCTGAGACTCAAATCTCTCAAAACTCAGAAACGTGCTACAGGCTTCCATCTTTGACTGATCCCCAAATTTTTGAAAGAAAAAAAAAAGAAAGCAAAGTTGGGAAATCTCCCTTCTATGCTGCTGTCCCTTCCCAACCAGCACAGGGCACTGCACCAAAAGTGACCCACGAGAGAGCAGATAAAACAGAATTGAAGAAAAATCCAGTCCTCGCCTCTGCATGGCAGCTTCTCATCCCATGGAGGCTCCCTGTTATTTGCCACAAGGAAATGGATCAGTTTGGACTTGCTGGACAGAGGAGAGTCTTCCTGAAGGGCTAGGCAGCGCACAGGGACTGCTGCTTTGACAATGCAGCCAAGCTCTGCACACTTATTTCCTAGGCTTTCAATCAGAAAAGATGTAGTTCAAGCACATATTTGCTATTTCTTTTCCCTTACAATTTTTTCCCTATGTTCTCTTGACCTGAAACGGAGCCTACATCTGAGCTCAGTGCTGGTGCCCAGCAGGTGTTTCTGGCTCCTGATGGTACTCCCTATGTCTCTCTCTGCATGTCCATGTCCATATCCACCCCATTCTCTGGTCCATGAGAGACTGGCTGAAGGGAGGCACCCTGCCACCTGTCCTGCAGGGTCTGATGCTGATTCCTTCACACACCAGGAGATGATAAGCCTGAGCAACAGAACATATCCAAGCTTTTTTACTTCCCATCCCTTACCTTTGCTGAATCTGGTTTGCTCAGCCAGACCTACCAAAGGATGTTATCTTTTTTTAGTGCCAGACAGATAAAATTGAGGTTTCTGGAACTGTCACTCAAGCTAAAGGGCTTGCAAATAAGCAAGACGCCATGTGCCTCAATTTTATCCTGCCTCCCACTTCCATGTATGACGTAGCTCTGTGATTCCTCCTGTGGACAGCACAGCAGCGCAGAGGACTCATGACTGCACCTCTCTCACCTGGATTCTAAACTTGCTGGGTCTCGGGGAGTTAATGGTGAGGATTTGCATTTCTGGCCAGCTTGGAGAGAGCTACCACCCCCAACAGGAGGCTGCTAGCTAAGTCAGAGATCCCTCAAGACAGCCTGAACCACAAGCACTACGTCCATGTGAAAGTCCACGCTCCAGGGGACTTGAGCAGGTAGACACAGATTTCCAGGGCCACATGGAGACACCAGGAGACACTTTCTTGTTTCTCAGAGGGAATGTTGAGGCCTCAGCATCATCACACTAGGCAGCAGAAGAGAGCAGCCACAGGAGAAACTTGCCTCCCCACCACCGCCAGGGTAAGCAGGAGCTGAGCACAATTCCCTCCTTTGTCCACATATCTGGGGGTTCCTGATACCCCCTGCAAAATAACATGAATAAGTATGATGCCCCAACCACTCTGCACACATACACACTCACACGGTGGAAAACAGCTACCGAGAACGTTGCAGGCAATGCCAGGGGCCAGTGGAAAACTGCTGAACAACTGCACAGTTTTCGGGGAATTTGCTAAGTCTCTCTTTTCCCATACTTCAGTCTGTCTGCATGGGCATTTGCTCAGGCTGAACTGCAGCGAGAAAACTCACTTCTAGACCTGGACACCCAGGTGGCAACAGCTGAAGATGCTGGAGAGCACATGGCTTAACAGTGGGAGTGGGACTGAAGGATATGCCACAAATTCACTGCTGCCTTCTCATTTGCAGAAGTCGAGCTTGTACAGCACTGAATGGGTGCTACAAAAAGCATGCCCAGCCATGTCCTCATCTCAGATTTATCTGAAAGATTGCATTGTCAGGCTTGGGTTTTGCTGGGGGTGTGGTGAGGAGGGTGAGGCATAATGTCTATTTTCCACTGGCTCCTGTTACACACCGGACATTTTACAAACATCATCCTCCTGACTTCACCCAAGTCCTACCCTGAGGCATTCAGGCATGCAAGAACAGCATGGTGGAGACATGGTGGGACTCGTGATGGAAACACATTGTGCTGAAAGAAAGAAGTTTGACATTACCAGTGCAGCAGTAGCAGGGCTCAGCGCTCCTCTTTCTTTCTATGAGATGCAGAGCACAGAAGAGCATGTAGGCAGCGTGTAAGAACCAGATCACACAGTAATTCTCCTTGCTTCAGTGATTGTTTTGCTATAGACAGGATTAACAAGTAAAGGTAATATATCCCCACTAGAAGGAAAAATAAAATAAAAAAGGAGGGCAGATGCAAAGGGAAGGACAGACAAGAAAAAGAGAAAAGTAATTGTCAAGACAGCAGAGAAATAAGACTATTTTCTTATTGCACTTCTGGCAGAATTAATACATTTTCTGCAACTCTCTCTATTCAGTGTTCCCACTCACCCTCAAGAGATGCATCCAGTGGGTTGCTACCACAGACCATTCAGTCTCTTCCAGACACAGCGTGTTAGAGGGATGCAGAAGGAGCATGTTAATTTCACAAATCAAGCAGTCTTACTTGCTAACCTACATCTGACTGCTGGATGTGTCCAGGACATATATACCCTGTGTACCCAATGTCACTCCCACTCAAGGGATGCATCTGAAAAAAGCATTCGCTTCAATAATTTTTCTGAGGGTTAACTTCAGAGAACACAGACAGGCCCACAGCCCTAGCACTGGAGGACAGGACCAGAGAAAAGGAGGAGCCAGCAATGCAAGTCAGCATGCACCATCGCAGCAGCAGCGTGAACTCCAACTGGGCTTTGGACACTGTCTGCCTTTACACATGCCAGCGCAGCTCCACATGACCGGGCCCCTGGCTTTCCTTACCCTCAAACTCCACTGATGGGGAAATACCAGCCCTAGCTTGACCTTTGCAATGGAGATGGCCACTTGCCCACAAGTGGTGCCCCCAGACCACAGATGGGCAACTCTCCCTGGTCCTCTGCAGGGCTATGTCTGGCCAGGAAAGCAGTAGCTCCCACCACAGGACCACTGCTGGAAGCCGCATCATACCCTCACTTCTGAGACAGGCTCAGAAAATGGAGGCATGCAGCTCTGCCAACTTCACCCACCTGTACCCTGGTCACTGGTGGGGACCATGGCTCGAGCAACCGTGTGGCACCAGTAACTTGCACAGACAGGGCTGGGAATGGCTCCGCGTTGCTGGACTGCAGTGGCACCAGCCACTCTTTGCATTACACAGGAAGGGTCTCCTTTCAGGGCTTAATTTTTGGGCACAGCGTGCCAGTCCGCAGGCCTTGTGCCCTCAGCAATGCAGCTGCCAGGTCACAAGCACAGTCAGCTGCAGACACCGGGGCATTTTGGCCGCTGTGCCTGGGTCCTACCACTAATTCCCCACGAATCACTTTTGCCCAGATCTCTGGCACCCTGGAAATGAGCAAAGAGATATAGCGGTAATGGAGTATTGGTTTTCTTTCTAGAAAAAGGTCTTCTACTTTCAATTCTGTGAGGAAATGTATTGTTTGGGCAACCATTTTAAATATTCATGGTGTTTGATATGCCCAAGCACATCAGCTGATCCACAAATTTAAGGAGATACATTTAAAGAAGCACGGTATTCCATCTCAGTTTTCACAGAGCTGAGAAAACAGGATATAAATACATATCCAACAGAGAAACTGCGCTGTGAAAGTGTCCAGCCAGTGATCTCTGCTGGGGTTCTCAGAACTGCATCTGCCCTTTCATGCTGCAGCCTATGCAAATGCCTACATGGTTTAAGCTTTTCCAAGTGTGAACACCACCCACATATTTAACCACCGTTATGGTATAAATTAAGACAGCTTGTTTGGAGTGAAACATGCTTTTTTTTTTTAAAAGACAAGTCTAAGACCATCAGATATCGAAGAAACAAAACCCCAACCATCCCACCCCCTCACTACTTATTTCTGTTCTGTTCACCTGAAGACTATCACTCACCTGCGCCACTGCCACAGCTTTGTTTTCTCCATCCTGACACTTTGTGCACTATTACCAACATAAACAGAAGTCGCTCAAGAAAGTAAGTGAAATCCTGCGGCTTTATACCACACCCAATGCCAGATTAGGCATTAATGCTACCTTGTCATCTGAAAGATCTCTGTATACAATTCCTGCACCAGTTGGGAAAAAGGAACACTTGGAAAGAGAAATTAGATTGGGTTGTGCTATTAGGGATTTTTTCCCTCCTTAACACATGGTTTCTTTAAGCAGAAGCTCTTTAGAGTGAATCGTGCCTAACTGGAGGAGGGGAAAATGGAAGTTTTCCATCAAAATCATAGAAGCAAAATTGTTTATGTTAAAATTAACTTTTTTCTTTTTTAATTTTATTTTTAAAGCAACCTTATTACCTTAGCCCTGCCTGCCAGCCCACTGCTGTTCAGGAGAAAGCAATCACTCCTCTGTTTTAGTGACCATGGGCATTGTTACGAGAACATTATAAATTCCCATGTCTTTAGCATCTTACCTGGTTGATAACATACACTCCATAATCTAGTTGCTGCCTTTGGAGAACTGGGTGCAGGTAATAAAGCCAGTACTTCAGGTGCTCTTCTCGGTTCCTGAATGGTATAATTATTGCAACTTTCTGAAGCGCTATACAGTCCTTTGGGGCAAAACGACCTCCTGCTTTGACCTCTGGGTTTATTCTTGCCACTTCTTCCAGGTTCACAGGCTGGGAAAACTCCACACGTAGCGCACCAACTGGAAAAGAGGCACAGGATTATGAATTAGCGCACACTGAGCACACATCCTTCACACACGTTTGGGTTTTGATTTGTTTTTTAAAAACAGAGGTTTGGATCCAAAGAAAATCCCAGTGGTGCACGGAGGTGTTGAAGCCTGGACCAGCCACGCTCAAAGCAACCACATGACAAAATTCAGCACAAACCTGCAAATGCTGTAGCCTCTTGGTATGACCCCAACCAAGTCACTGACACCAAATGAGTCTTGAAAATGCTCTGATTTATGTGGCAAACCAGCAGTTGCATTCCCACTGGCACGTGCACCACAAAACCAGCCTCTGCACTCTCACCCACCTAGCACAGCATGAAAGTCAAGCACTTTGAAAACAGTCCTCTTCTCCTGCCAAAATAATTGCTTATGCCAAGGTTAGCCACATGCAAAGTGAACAAAAGCCCCTTTCTCTATAGACACTTTAAGTGTTCTGTAGGCATGCCCACTATTTACTAAAAGCCCTGTATTAGAACTGTTAAAAAAAAACAAACAGATTTGCATGCAGGGTGGCAATTCCTGCACATGGTTTCAGAAGTGGCAGATTTTTAAACTGCCAAAATAATCTGTGCCAAAAACCAATGTGTAAAACTGAGAAGCCCCCTGGCACCTCAGAGAGGATGGCAGCCTCTGAGCTGCTGAAGGCTGAGCTCAGGGATGGACAGTGACAGCCCCAGCACTGATGCGGCTGATAAGATCTACTGTGCAAGAAGAAGCAGCTGCTCCAGTTTGGCTGTGCTGTTCCACAAACCTGTGCTCACTCAGGCTGGAAGTAGCAAGAAGCAAACCAGCCAAACAGGCAGAGGTGCTCTGTGTATCCCCAGAGCCATAAGGAAGCTTTGCTGCCTGATTCACTGCCTACACAGTGGCGGTGAGATCTTGCAGAAACCGGCATCACGGGCAGGATGCAAAGGGATCTCCTGACCTCCACATTTTACACAGATTAAATGGGCGAGTTTGCACATTTCCCTCTCACACAAGGAGAAGGCAGCAATTTCTTGGAGTCCAGGCACTGGGATCAATCTACCCATGCTCTCAGCACAGCTGCAGTTCCCAGCTGCACCTCCAAAATGTCTGTCTGGTTTCCCACACTCTCTGCCCCATGATGTCAGGCGTTGTGGATGCCTGATTTGAGGCTGCATGGCTGGGACCAAAGCCCCTCTGGGCGGCATGCAGGGAGAGCTGGAAGGCCACTCTGCAGTGGGAGGAAGAGGCAAGAATGGGAGGAACCAGGGCAGGAAGGAAAACGCAGCAGTACAACCGGGAATGGGAGTGGCAGGGTCAGGCCACGCAGAGCCACCTCTGTGTCAAAGGGACAGGGCAGGGGCAGACACCAGAGCAGCAAGGCCAGCAGGGTTGAGAGGGGGAGACAGCACATCGTTCCTCCGAATTTGATTATCCCTTCCCTGCCGTGGTGGCAAACGCTCTCTCAGAACGGCCTTTGGCCTTGACCCACCTGCATGCCTGCTTCCCCGTGCCCATTTCTCTGCCTCACTGTTTCACCTCCATTAGGACACCAGCACTCACAGTTAGGCCAATGCTACACTTTTGTGCATTTAATACAGCAAAAGGCTTTGTGCTGGGCATCATGGCTCAGCTAACCGGTCTTGGCCAGCAAATGGGGCTACACTGGGCATCTGTACCCAGGGATGTTATTTTCCTGCCTGGCTCGCACCACGCTGCCAGCAGCAGGACTGATCCGGCGGGACACTGCAGGAAGCAGCGGGGCAGAAGAGGCACATCCCTTCGTGGGGCCCTGCCAGCCTGGCCTGCTCCCAGGCGCCGGGTGGCTGCCGCCCCACTGAGAAAACCCCTTCCTGTCACAGTGCGCTATGCGGTCTGCTCTCAGTTGCTGTGCGCTCTGCTCCCAGTTGCTGTTCCAGAGTAAGCCCCACCAGTCCAGGGGATGCTTTCTGGTTTAATGAACAAAGGCTCTTTTAACATCTCACACTCACTCAAGCAGTGTAAGAGGGGAGGAAATGAAAGTTTGCCATTTAGGCGAAATTACAGGGCAAATCTGCTGGTGGCATGTGAGCTCCATCCAGCTGGGCAAGGATGGCCACAAGCATTTGGACACTGCAAGCAGGAATTTTTGGAGGCTGGCACCCGTCAGCCCCCCAGGGCCAAACACGGGCTGCTCAAACTGCCAGCACTGGCTCTTGTTTGCCTTCAAGAGGCTGGAACTTAAGCAAGGAATAGACGAGAAAGGAAAACTCAAATTCATTATAAAAACCAGCTGCAGAAGACAGAGATTTAACAGTTTCAGAGTCTTGATGAACACTGGTGAGAAATTATCTGTACTGCTCTGACCTTCAGTTAATCAAATTGGTTTTAAGAGCAGCACACCTTCTTGCAGATGCTGTCCTGAGGGATGCAACCAACATCCAGGGCAGTGAGGAGACACCAGGCACCGGCATCACACATGTGCAGCCTCTTCTGAGATAGGCTTGACACAAATCACCTAATGGCTAATACATTCAGTAAGAATACGAAAATGTAAAAAGCCTGAATGGGCTGTTTCCAAATACAGAATGGCTAAAACAAACTAGACTTCATAAAGCCACGTTGCAGACAAAAACCAATGGCAACATACCACCCCCTGCGAATTGATGCTTTCAGTTCATTTCCCAAGCAGAAGAATAAAGCCAAATCTGCAAACACAGGCTTTCCAACTGGTGACCAGAGTCACAGTTTCAGTTGCTAATTTTAAACCATTTTGACTGAAATTTGACTACCTGCATAGTGAGTCAGCCCCGTGCTGGCTCAGGACATGATCTGCCCATGCCAAGAAATCGTGTGAAGTTTCCTGCACATGCTGTCCCACTGGCCAAAATTGTATCCCTATCTGTGTTTACTAGGTAAACTTTCCAGCCCGATTCACTCCATCTCACCTTTTCTGGTTCTGCTCAAGGTGACTGTCTGACATAGGAGCCACTATATATTGAGGCTTTGCTAAAAACAGACAGGCGTAACAGAGCTATGTGGACTTGCAATTCCGGACACCCGTGCGGCCCAGGATTTGTAGGCAGACACGTTCTGGGTTCAGAGATACAAAGCTCCAACAACTTCATGAGCCTTCACTGTACATCTTTCGAAATCTTGAATAAGCAACTGCTGGAAGTTTGCAAAAGATACAAAAGCACAGCATCACACCCAAACACTTCAGATACTGTAGGAGGTTTTAGCTGGCAGTGGTAGGGTAAGAGAGAGACACACACACAAAAACAGCAGATTCCCTCCAGTCCTCTCTCTCTGTTGCTCAGAAGCATTTCTGCTCAAAGGGAAGAAGGTACACAGGAAAAGCGCTGTGCAGGCGCAGAAGCCAGGAGCCATAGTGGTGCACACAAACAGGAAGCAGCTTCTTGCACAAAGCAAAACGTGAATCTTGCAAAAAGCCAGAGGCAGCACAGCACTTAAGCCTCAGGAACCTGGCCCACAGTCCCGGTCATCTCCTCGTCCCCATTTCTCAATGACCACAATTGCCACAACAGCTGAACCCCTTGCTGTGTGAGGCTGCCACACACATCCTCCCCAGTGCTCATCTAGCTGACCCAAACAAGAGGATCCTTGGCCAAAAAGCCCAGAATCCACTCGGCCTCATGCTATAAAAAGTTTAGAGGCTGCTCCAGCCTCCCTGGACCACAAGTAGTAGAACTGTTGGAAAAGCTTAAGCAGCAATGTCGCATAGAACCAAAATTGTACTCTTGCATCCCCCAGGGGGGACGTGAATGGGATGGCACCCTGCTCCATTCAAGAGGGCTGTAGCAGGTGATACAACATGGGACAGCCCTAGGAGGGTGGAATGGGGATAGGAACCCCTTCTCCAGGAGGGCTGTGTAGTCCCAGCAGAAGGAGATGGGAAGGTGGGGAGCTGGGTTCACAGGCAGATTTGGCAAGGTGATCCAGCAGACTGAACTGCCCTCCCAAGAACTTCACTGGGAAAAATGGCAAAATTCACCTGAACGCTTTAAGCCAGGTGCAAATCTCAGGTATTTAATTTAATGAGAATGAAAGCAAAAGCGTGTAGCATGGAGGTTGGAAAAAATCTTTCCCCAGACAGAGCAGAAAAGAATGTTTCCACTGCCCTGGCCGAGAGCCGGGCACTGCTCTCCAGCCGCCGAGCCACGTGCACACCCGCACTGCCATGCTTAGACAAACCTCATGTGAAAGGAAAGCTAGAAAAGAGAAGCAGAACTCGCAGAAAGAAAAACAAACCCAACACAAACCCAAAACCTCTATTTGCAGGGGCCCAACAGAAAAGGGAAGGGCCTGTCTGCTGCACCAAGTCTGTCCTGGCTGGGAAAACCAAAACCAGCTTCATCTCAGAAAATGTGGAGCAAGCCCCCTCATCCACGCTGTGGAGCCAGGGTGGCTGCAGCCCCCAGATCCACACAGCAGCTCCAGGGCAGGCAGGCAGCTGCATCCCACGGCTCAGCAAAGCAAGCATTTCCTATTAAAATCAGCTAAGCTTTAAGGCTGTGCCAGCGCCTACGCAGGTAGCGCCAGTGAGGCTCGAATTGGGGTTCAACCCTGTGGCAGTGGGATGGGACCTTTGCTGCCTGCAGCTCTCACACTCCCATAAACATTTAGGAAAACCCCAGGCCATCCTCAGGTCTGTCTAGAAATACTCCAATGAGAAAAAAAAAAAGCCTTCCAAGGACTGGGATAAGTTTTCTTTGGCTGGTCTACATGTGTAAATTTGCATCTCCTTACAGATGTCGGCTATGCCAGCATAAGGCATAGCCTGCTCCACCAGCACATGCTGTCTCAGGCAGGCTCCCACAGCATCTTGCATCTGCAACTGTGGACCTCAAAGGGAAACAGGCTGAAAAAAATGAGGATGCATCACATGCACTGGCAACACTGGATCTGCACAATGGCAGGTTTACATGATTAACTGAATGCCTACAGCCAGAGAAAAAACTTTCTTAATCCAACCCCCAACACTGCATATTCCAACACAAAGGTCT